TCAACTCCGAAAGCTCGGCTTCAAGGTTAGAGATTTTTTCTTTAAGCCCTTGGACATGTGTAATTTGCGTGACATGAGCCTCCTTTGCTGCCAAGAATTCTTCTTTCTTCTTCAAGACAGCGGCAGTGCTGTCTGCTACAGACTTCCTGACAGAATCTGCAGCCGCTACTTTGCTTTCAAGCAACCGGAATTTTCTGCTGAAGTGCGTATAAATGGAGGTGAAGTCTGCCCAGAATTTTTGTTGAGATGATGATAACTGTGGAGCTCAGCTAAGGATTTGAGCCGCTTCAAAGGCGGCTGGCTGGTCCGGCACCTTGCAGAAATGGGAGGGACCACCATCAAGGAGCTCCTGCAAGGTCATGATCGCAAAACTAATCTGCTCCTGAGTAGGAAGGTTGGTGTCAGATTCCACTTCCTCAACAACTGCCTTCCCTTTACTATCTGTGGCAGATCCAGATTTAGCCGGAGTATCCATCAACATATCCAGCTGGGCAAGGAGTTCATTCTCCAAATCATCATCAATCATGGGCACATCAACAGCAACACTCTATAAAATGCAAAGACAAAAGATCAAAAATGGCAACTGGCAGATGTGGTGACAGATTTCAAGATCTAAGCAGATTTCAGAACAGTAAAACAACCTCAAAGTCATCAACATGAACATGCCTAGCAGGAGAAGCTATAGGTGTAGGGGTATTCTCTTTGTCTGAGCTTAGACCGACGAGTTCATTCGGTCTAACTGTTCTAAAGCTTTTACTTGCTATGCGTGAAGAGAATCTAGAACCTTTAACCTTGGTGGCGGGTGAAGAACCATCGGCAGATTTGGTGCGAGAGGAGCCAGAATCGCCTTCATCACCCTCAGAAGATATGTCTTCAACAGGAGCTTTCGTGGCAGCAGGACCGAGGGAAACATCTTCTGTTTTGTCAAATTGCGTCTCGGTCTCCGTGGCAGAAGAGGATCTCGAGGGAGAGGCAGATTTCATAAGTCTCTTGGCTGCGGATGGCTTTACTGCTGACCTCTTGATCCCTAAAGAAAAAAAGAGGTGGGTGTTAGCAGAAAACATGTCACAAAGTTACAAGCCAAAGCGGATTTACCTCCGGTTCTTCGCTGCTTGGTGGGGGTATCCTCTTTCGTGGAATCTGCAGGAGCAACAAATTTCCTTTTGACTTGAAGCTTGGGAGCTCTCCTTGGCAGATTTGGCTGGCTGATCTGGGCGGCCATGGCAGATTCCAGGTCCTCATTCTCTTTCACTACTTTCCTCCTTTCGGATTTTTTGGTGAGTGGCGGAGGGGTCAGAACAGAAATATTCTCCATAACATCAAGAAACCGAGGATGAAAGTAGTCTCGCCACCAACTCTGGTAAGAGGAAGTGCAGCTTGGCCTGAATGGAGGGTCTGGTAGAATCGGTGTCTGCAGAGTTTTGGTGATGTCAGCAAGTTTGGTAACCAAAATCTTTGAATCCCCGATCATGAACCGAAGGGGATAGCTGTAGTT